TTATCACTGACTGTGACTGGCTGGCTAACTGACTCTCAATGTTATGGTGTGTGTGTGCACATTTGGATATTGTGTACTGTGCTTCGTTGATGGCTTCAATGTTTCGGCAGCTGTTGTTGTTCTCTGTTATCGCTTGAGTAAGGATATGTGAAAAAATAAATACGGGATATCAGCGGCAGCAGCAGCATACTCTATTCAGCATTTTTTCTACTAAATACAGAAGAAAACTTAAGCACAAATGGCCCAAAAGACAATGATAACGACCCTCAAAACGAATGGAAAGGATTTTTTGTGAACGGAAAAAAGTGTTTCTTTGGAAAAAATTATTAAAACAAAATCATTTTTATATGAATAATTAAAAGTGTTAAATGTGTGTAACGACAAGAAATGAATTGGTTTCTGCAAAAATTGCTGCAAGTTCCATGGAGAAAATTGTGTATAATTTGACGGCTTACTTAATAAATGGCTGTTAATCAGCAGGATAACGAAAAAAAAATTACAACAATTGAAATCAAGTGCAAGTAAATCTTCAGAATAAAAAAATATATAAAAAGGGAAAAATCTTACAACGAATTATTTATATATTTATATTTGATTAATCTGTTAATAAAAGTGTATTGAAAAAAAAAAAACAAAAAAATTGTTAAAACCAGCTGTCGATTTTTTTTGTACAGAAGAAAAAAATTCTTTGTTAAATTTTTTTAATAAACAACAAACAAAATTTTCAACATGAATATAATGCAGTCATTTGGTGGGGGAGATGGTGGTAAGTCTTGAATAATATTTTTTTGTTCAAATAACAAACGAAAAAGAAAACTATTTTTAATAAATTCCCATACACATATAATTTTTCTCCTGTGCAATACCAACATTTTTCTTCTTCTTCACTAATTCCCTTTACTTTTTGTTTTTGCTTTCTTTCATATTTATTTGTTTGTTTGTGTGCAAAAAATATAACACTGTTGTGTATGTATAACAACAAACATTTATCATTTACACTTGCTTTTACTCGATACCAACGAACGAAACTGGCTAACGGTTTCTTAATGTCAAACATATGGTGGTATGTCTGTCATGGCAGTTAGACTCATCCAAACACACACACCCACATACACTCATATGAAGTATATGTGTGTTTTGTGTAGGTGTTGTGTTGTGCTTTATATCCAAATACCAGACACCATAAGATGACAACAAACTAGCGAACAAAACAAAACGTAGAATAATAACAGACATCGTCGTTAAAATACACACACACACACACACAAAACAAGTGTATGCTTACATAAAATATAGTGAAATACGAAGATGTGAAAACCAAACAAATAAACAAAGCACGAAAGGGTGTTGAAATTGGAAAAGAGAGAGAAACTGATTTATAATGTTGGGAGAATAATATGGGTTTTATTAAAGATCATGTTTTCAGTTTAAAAGGGTCCAAAACATGATGTATTTATATTAATTTCGGATCACAAATGGGTACTTACTTAGCCAGCTTGTTACAGAACGGTTGTTCCATAAGTCTAGCTTAAAAAAGATTTCCAGGCGCGTCGGTCTTGTGCGCATCTCCTCCGATTTGAAAGACCACGTTTCAAGATGTTGTTTTCTACTTATTCTTTCCATCTCAATTTGTTCAAAGGTGGCTGTTACCGCTCGCAATGTTCGATCCATTATATCTATGTCATCGGCGTAGGCGAGTAACATGTGTTGTTTGGTATACAGAGTGCCATTTCTGTTCACCTTTGCATCTCGTATGACATTTTCCAGCAGGATCACACGACAAACTGTCACATTGTCTGAATCCTCGTTCAGTATTGAAGGACTCCGATAGGACTTTTCCTACTTTAACTCCGGACCTTGTGCCACTTAAAGTTATCCTACATAGCCGAATTAATTTTGCAGGAATGCCGAACGTAGACATGGCTTTAAATTCCTCTGAACGGATAGGGCTGTCGAATCGTTAGGGCACTCCATAATTTAAATGTGAATAAATCGTTTGTGTCTGTACCATTGCTGTCGAATCGTTAGAACACTCCAGAATTTAAATCTGAATAAATGGTAGGGTAAATGGGTGTGGTAGCGGAGCCCGACGTCAAGGAAGTGGGCGGAAGAAAACAGCAACATTAGCAGAAATGGTTCGAAAAGTATAGATTTGATCGAAACCCGCGTCGCAGTGGCCGAAAATTTTGACTTCCATGAGTCGCCCTGATGGCCCCATGTTGTCTAGGGCCACAAAAATTTGGAGATGGGTTGAGGAACACCTAAATAAGATCGCAATAAAAAAATAAATAAAAAAGCTTAACCCATTCGAAAGCTATAACGAATTTACTATGATTGTTTTATATGGATTATCATTTAAGCATGGATTAAAATATATATTATTTTAATATATATATATATATATATATATTTTGAGTTCCTACATCTAGATCAGATCCGTATAGACAAATTAGAACCTCACGATAGTCCATTTTTTAATGAGTTACAGAGCTATATTTGGATGGGTACAATGTACCACGGTTGTTGTTCTACGTAGGTAATAACTTTAAAAAATTGTAAAAATTATATATATGGAAAATGTTTATAATTTTTTTCTTCGATTATGTGTGAAAGTACCTCAAGTCTCAAATATCTCCATTATTAAAAATTTTACAGCATTTTTACTCAAAAAAGGTACAAATGTACCCGGTTATTGACCGTAGGGTTAAAAATGAGCTCGTGTTAAAGCCATTGAAATTCCAAAAAGTGCAAGAACTTTCACCGCAACAGAATGAAAATATACTCAAAAGAGTTGCTTCCGAAAGTGGTGATCTGCCGAATTTGGTTTTCTCCGATGAGAAAACATTCGTTGTCCAACAGTTTGTAAACAAACAAAATGATCGTGTTTACTTGCCAAAGAGGTCAGCTGAAATGTGCACCTTCGGTTGGCCACCAGAACTTATGGTGATGGTGTGTGCCGCCATAATAGCCGATGGTCGCTCTCCGCTCGTATTAATCGGCCGTGGCATCAGAATAAATGCCAAATATTATCATGAAAATATTCTGGAGGGTGTAGTAAAGCCTTGGGCACGCAAACATTTTAGCCTCAGACCTTGGACATTCCAACAGGACTCTGCACCATCGCACTCAGCACGCGCCACCCAAGAATGGTTACAAAATGAGGTTCCTCGCTTCATTTCCAGCATACAATGGCCACCAAAATCTCTGGATACCAATCCGTTGGACTATTCTGTCTGGAGTATTTTGAAAAAACAAGGTTGGCACTAAAAAATACCAAAGTGTCGATCACCTCAAGAAAGCGCTTCACCGGGAATGGGCCAAAATACCGAAGAGCTACATTCGGGCAGCGTGTGGCGGTTTCATTGGCCGTTTGAAGGTCATAATTCGTGCCAATGGTGACCAGTGCGAACAAATCTAAAATTTTATGATAGTTCCGATATTCATAAAATAAAATTAAACAAAAGTGTAAACGTTATGGAGTTTGACTTTGTTGCAGTTTTTTTCTCATCCTGTATTTTTGTCCGATTTATAGTAAGTGGTGCACCAAAGTCTCTATATTTCTTTCGAATTGCAGGAAATTTCTCACATCGTACTGAATTGTGTCTGGAATGATGTGTGCTACGTTTCGTAAAAATCGGTTCAGATTTAGATATAGCTCCCATATATATTTTCGTCCGATTTCAAAGACCCTTTTGATTTGAATGAAATTTTGCATAGCGCAATGAGTTGAGCCTAGAATGATGTTTGCTAAGTTTTGTAAAAATCGGTTCGGATTTAGATATACCTTCCGTATATTACTCTCGTCCGATTTTAAGTATATGGTGCACTAAATACTCAAAGCTAGGCCGATTGACACCACATTTTGCAAATCGTACTGAAGTTATTAGGTTGGAATATTAGGTTGGGGAAAAAGAAATCGATTATTTTTTATGAGCAAAAGAACTTCATTTAACATGATTCGGAATGTCCGATTTGGGCCAAATATGCACCGTTTTGTTGTATGATTTTTTGTCATTTTAAACGTAACTTCATAATGCCTCTCCCATAGAGTCCTTTAAAAAAACTCTAGTAGTTGACTTTCACAATCTTCCCTAGATAACAATTTTTTATCATTAAAGAAATTTTGCAATGTAAGAAACAGATCATTATCGCTCGGTGCCAAGTCCAGACTGTATGGCTGATGCATTAAATTTCAATTTTAAGTTTTCAAACTTAAAAATTTGGTTTACAAAAGTTATTTTATAATTACCACACAGAAACACAATTTTACTTGTCGTTCCATTTTTTTGTGCTTGATCCCTATGTGTACTCCAACGTATAATTAATATTAATTTAATAATATTGAACATACGACCAGGTGTACATTACCCAAAACTTAACATTATAGGTAAAAAAGGTATTTACAAAATTTCCTGCAAAATTTTGACATTCCATTTCACATCTTTACAAAAAGAGTCACCCCATTATTACGCCAAATAAACAATAAAACAATTCAACACCAAAATTTGTTGTTGTTGCTGTTGTTTTATCAACAACTACTCTCATATTTACACAACACCACACACTTGTTTAATATTTCATAGAATTTTCAGCTTTTTCTTTACACACATTTATATTTAAACACGTTAACATATATACACATATATTTCTATGTATATGTGGCCGTATGAAATATTGCTGCACCTCAATCAGCTGTTATTCAAGCCGCCATTCGTGTCCATTTTTGTTTTTGTTGTTTTTTTACATTGTTTTCTTTTTCATTTGCTTTGAAATTGAAAACCATTCTCCATACAAAACAACGGTAAAAAGAAAACAAAGGCAAAGAATACAAAAAGAAGAAGAAGAAAAAAAAACAAAACTCACTAAATGTATGACTTTGTTCTCTTAATGACTTTGTTGCGCTCTTGCCATAACGCGCATTCACGTTAACTACGTGAGTGTGTGTTTGTAAAATGTTTTTCTTTTGAGTGTGTCATTGTGTGAATTCCTGTTTGCTGAAAATGACTGTATTGCTATACTGGGGCAATCATGCCAAAGATGAATGTACATGTATGTGTGTGTGAGAGAGTTACTGAACATAACAGCTGGCAGAGAAAACAAAGAGCGAATATGTGTGATTTGTTTATATGTCAACGTATATCCGTGGACATCGCTGCACTAGGGCATTGTGTTTTTCTTCCATTATTTTTTTCATGCAAAAAGAAAATTGTTTAACATACAGACGCACACTAACACGTACACACTCTGCAAACTGTTGTCGTTGTAACACAACTGTGAAAGTCAAGGTTTTGTTGTTTTTGTTTCTGTTTTTGTGTTTCCTTCTTTGTCGTATTCGTTAACTGAGATTTTGTTGTTTTGCACTTGAATGGCAAATAACTGGCGATTGTTATGATGGTTCGTTTGTATTGCGTGTTAAATTTGTTGATGTCGTTATTGTTTGTTTTTACTTCGACCACTACATTTATAATACCTAGCATTATAAGTTAATTTTTGGGTGAAAGAGTGGCAGCACAACAAGAATTTTCGAATTATTTATTGAGGAACCATATGTTCATACTAGGGCACGTTTGACAGTCAATATTCAATCGAATATTTCTTCAAGAGCTTGAAAAAATATTTTTTAAAAATCCACGCCAATAGAAGAGCGTGAAAAAATATTCCTTAAAAAATCCTTAAAAAAATCTTTAAAAAGGCCGCGGATTTTTAAGGAATATTTTTTCCATTATATATTTTATATATTTTTTTTATATTTTTGCCATTTTCGCCATATTGTCTTCGACTTGATCTTTCCATCGTATTCGTGGCCTTCCCCTTCTGCGTGAACCATCAGCTGGTTCGCTTTTATATGCTGCAGCTCAATACGTCTAACAATGTCGATGCCCGTGAATAGCTGGTACAACTCATGGTTCATTCGACGGCGATATTCTCCGTCAACGCAGACCGGTCCGTAGATCATTCGGAGAATTTTTCTCTCAAACACTCCAAGAACTGCCTCTGCCTCTGCTTGCGCAAGTACCCATGCTTCAGATCCATATAACAGAACGGATAGTATCAGCGTTTTGTAGAGTATGTGTTTGGTCTGGCGGGAGGTGGCCTTGCTTTTGAGTTGTTTGCTCAGACCATAGTAGCATATGTTGGCCATCACTATCCTTCTCCGAATTTAAAAACTTATGTCATTCGTTTTGTTTGTGGCGGTACCAAGGTATATAAAACCTTAGACTACCTCGAAGCTTTAGTTCTCAAGTTCCACAGTTGGTCCGTGTCTACTGGACATCTTGTGCGTTAATACCATTAACTTGGTCTTCTCGCCGTTTACTGCCAGACCCACTTTGGCGGACTCCTTTTCAATTTGTTCAAAGGTGACTGATCCAGTGTTCGATCCATTATGTCGATGTCATCGGCGTATGCGAGTAACTTGTATTGTTTGGTGTACAGAGTGCCATTTCTGTTCACCTTTGCCTCTCGTGTGACCTTTTCCAGCAGGATGTTAAAAAGGTCACAAGACAAACTATCACCTTGTCTGAATCCTCGTTCAGTATTAAAGGGCTCCGAGAGGTCCTTTCCGATTTTAACTGCTGATCTTGGGCCAGTTAAAGTTATTCTGCATAGCCGTATTAATTTTGCAGGAATGCCAAACGCAGATATGGCTTTATACACCTCTGAACGGATAGAGTAGGTGTAATGTGTCGATGTGTTTTTCGTGGTGTTTTTTTCCAGGATTTGGCGCAAAGTGAAGATCTGGTCAATGGTGGATTTGCCAGGTCTGAAGCCGCATTGGTATGATCCAATAATGTCATTGACCATTGGCTTCAATATTTAAACTTTATATGCAATGAGACTTATTCCTCTATAGTTGACACATATCGTCTTGTCTCCTTTTTTGTGCACGGGACACAGGATGTTGAGGTTCCAATCATTGGGCATGCATTCTTCTAGTCAAATTGTACTAATCAGCTGGTGCATGCTCCTTACCGGCATCTGACCACCAGTCTTGAATAGTTCGGCCTGTAACCCATCGGCACCTGCTGCTTTATTATTCTTCAACCGATTGATTGTTATTCAGACTTCATCTTGACTAGGTGGTATACACTCTATACCGTCATCTATTATTGGTTCAGAAGTTTTTCAAAATGCTCCTTCCAGATCCTTAGCACGCTGTCTGTATCGGCCACCAGGTTTCCTTCTTCATCTCTACAGGTGGATGTGCCTGCACCAAAGCCTTCGGTTTGGTGTTTTACCCGTTGGTAGAATTTTTGGGATTTCATTCTGATTCCTGTACATCTCAATTTGCTCACGCTCACGTTTTTTGCTCTTTCTTCTGAAAATACGTTTCTCCTATTTCCTTTTCTCCCGATAGATCTCCATCGCATTACGTGTTGCTACTGACCGCAGGGTTGTCCTATACGCTGCGATTTTCACATCAGTAGCATTACGACACTCCTGATCGTACCATGGGTTTCTTGATGGTGGTCTTTGGTGCCCAAGTGTTGCTTTTGTGTCATTGTGCTTCGTCAACAAGGGGGTGCTTTCGTCAAGCAGTTGGGTAAGTTGAACGGAGTAGGCCTCGGCTACATGTTGTGTTTACAGATTTTCGACGTCGAGTTTCCGTGTTGTGTTAGATCGCATCTTTGCTGCTACATTAAGACGATTGCGAACCTTGGCTGCTACAATGTAGTGGTCCGAATCGATATTCGCTCCTCGAATCGATCAAACGTCTAAAACACTGGATAAATGCCTTCCGTCTATTACAACATGATCGATTTGATTTCTCGTTGTTCGATCGGGAGAAATCCAAGTGGCCTTGTGTATATCGAGATGCTTGAATCTGATGCTGCTAACTACCATATTTTTTGCTACCGCGAAGTCCATCAACCTCATGCCGTCGTCGGATGTTTCTTCATGGAGGCTGCGTCTGTTCTGTACAACGTGCGCACATTCCAAGTGCAGATTCGCAGATCATGGTCCTTTATACGTTTGCGGGGGTCGTCAACATTACGGGGGTTTGGTTTCTTTTTCTTTGCTTTTTCATAGTAGGTTGGGTTTTCCGAGAGTGGGCAACTAACCCGACGCCGCAACCCATTTTTTTAAAGTTCTTATGGGTGAACTCGCGGCACATATTAGCTCACTATTTCATCGGGTGATGAAAATAGCTCCCCAGGTGGCACCGCGCGGAGGTCAGTGTCCACAATTGAGATGAAAGAGGGACCAAGATAAGCCTGGACTTCGCCATGTTAAAGTCAATCAGAGCCGTTGCTTGGCATCTATCGTCACCTACGCTATATACTATAAATAGGCGTGGATTTTTTAAAGAATATTTTTCAAGGACTATAAATAGGCGTGGATTTTTTAAAGAATATTTTTCAAGGACTATAAATAGGCGTGGATTTTTAAAGAATATTTTTTCAAGGACTTCTATAGGCGTAGATTTTTTAAAGAATATTTTTTCAAGGACTTCGAAAGGCCTTGATTTTTTAAAGAATATTTTTTCAAGGACTTCGAAAGGCCAGGATTTTTTAAAGAATATTTTTTCAAGGACCTTCTACAGGCGTGGATTTTTTAAAGAATATTTTTTCAAGGACCTTCTACAGGCGTGGATTTTTTAAAGAATATTTTTTCAAGGACCTTCTATGGGCGTGGATTTTTTAAAGAATATTTTTTCAAGAACTTCTATAGGCGTGGATTTTTTAAAGAATATTTTTTCAAGAACTTCTATAGGCGTGGATTTTTTAAAGAATATTTTTTCAAGGATTATAAATAGGCGTGGATTTTTTAAAGAATATTTTTTCAAGGACTTCTATAGGCGTGGATTTTTTAAAGAATATTTTTCAAGGACTTCTATAGGCGTGGATTTTTTAAAGAATATTTTTTCAAGGACTTCTATAGGCGTGGATTTTTTAAAGAATAATTTTTCAAGGACTTCTATCGGCGTGGATTTTTTAAAGAATATTTTTTCAAGGATTTCTATCGGCGTGGATTTTTTAAAGAATATTTTTTCAAGGACTTCCACAGGCGTGGATTTTTTAAAGAATATTTTTTCAAGGACTTCCACAGGCGTGGATTTTTTAAAGAATATTTTTTCAAGGACTTCCACAGGCGTGGATTTTTTAAAGAATATTTTTTCAAGGACTTCCACAGGCGTGGCTTTTTTAAAGAATATTTTTTCAAGGACTTCTATAGGCGTGGATTTTATAAGAATATTTTTTCAAGGACTTCTATAGGCGTGGATTTTTTAAAGAATATTTTTTCAAGAACTTCTATAGGCGTGGATTTTTTAAAGAATATTTTTTCAAGGACTTCTATAGGCGTGGATTTTTTAAAGAATATTTTTTCAAGGACTTCTATAGGCGTGGATTTTTTAAAGAATATTTTTTCAAGGACTTCTATAGGCGTGGATTTTTTAAAGAATATTTTTTCAAGAACTTCTATAGGCGTGGATTTTTTAAAGAATATTTTTTCAAGAACTTCTATAGGCGTGGATTTTTTAAAGAATATTTTTTCAAGAACTTCTATAGGCGTGGCTTTTTTAAAGAATATTTTTTCAAGGACTTCTATAGGCGTGGATTTTATAAGAATATTTTTTCAAGGACTTCTATAGGCGTGGATTTTTTAAAGAATATTTTTTCAAGGACTTCTATAGGCGTGGATTTTTTAAAGAATACTTTTTCAAGAACTTCTATAGGCGTGGATTTTTTAAAGAATACTTTTTCAAGAACTTCTATAGGCGTGGATTTTTTAAAGAATATTTTTTCAAGGATTATAAATAGGCGTGGATTTTTTAAAGAATATTTTTTCAAGGACTATAAATAGGCGTGGATTTTTTAAAGAATATTTTTTCAAGGACTATAAATAGGCGTGGATTTTTTAAAGAATATTTTTTCAAGGACTATAAATAGGCGTGGATTTTTTAAAGAATATTTTTTCAAGGACTATAAATAGGCGTGGATTTTTTAAAGAATATTTTTTCAAGGACTATAAATAGGCGTGGATTTTTTAAAGAATATTTTTTCAAGGACTATAAATAGGCGTGGATTTTTTAAAGAATATTTTTT